TTTTTTTGTAAGTTGGGTTCAGATTCTTTTCTTTTTGTAGGTTGTTTCAGTTTTGTTGCTTCAGAGTCTTCTTTTTTTGTAGGTCAGTTTTGGATTTATTTTGTTGTTTTGGTTTCTTTTTCATCAGATGCTTCATAATTCTTTTCATTTATGTAGGTCAGACATTCTGGAGTTCTCTTTCTTTTTTTGTAGGAATGCTGACCTTTGGTGACTTGGACGATTGCAGATACTATATGAAGGGGGGTTTTGTTTCCAATTAAGTTAGACGTTCTTATGTTTCTTTTCTTTGTTTTTTTTAGGTTGTTTGACTCCAAATGAACCTGAACTTATAGATAATTTTGGTTGCAATAGGTAGTTTTAATAAGGAGGGAATTTTCATAATGTATTTGTATTTTGTTTATTTTTTATTTTTTATTTAATTTAATAAAGTAAAATTAGATTTATGTAAATATAATTATAATAAACTGTAATACAAATAGTAAATTCAGTGACAAAATCGTATAAATTTCGTGATAAAATCAGTGATCAAATCATGTAAATTCCATATGAATTCCGTGCAAATTCCGTATCCAAACCATATTTTTAGTGATACGGAATTGTGCATTTTTCCGTATCCTATTATGATACGTTATTTCTAAGGAAAAAAATCGTATAAAAACTTTATAAAAAACGTATCCAATTTTTTTATAGGGATGTACTATGACGTATTTTAGTAATCGCCACAGTCACATGAGGAACCATAAATATATTAAATAAATTTTCTAATATTTCGGAACGTTGTCATTTGTCAATATTAAAAATAGTCATAAACCGAAAAAGAAAATTCATCCTATGAAATATTCGTCTAGAAATCAATTTTTGTTCCAATTTATGATGAAGATGGGCTAATTCACGTGATGACTAAAAGATATAATTCTGTTTTTTATACAGTTTAAGGCACTTTAAGTATAAATAATAATTTATTCACAATTATGTATCGTGGATTGTGGATTATGTAGATAAAAACCAGAAATTTTTCTAGAAAAATACGTGTGCAACAAACGTGTTATCTGATTTGTACGGTATCTCTTTCATATATATAAACTAAGGTGGCGTCAGGAATCAAGTTGGCACGCCCTTTAATATTTTTTCAGTTAATATGTTGTTTATTGTGAGTTGTGTATTTATGTTTATGTTTGTAATAATGTAGAATATATTAAGAAAAAGATTCTGTTTATAGATTTTTTTGCTTTATTATCAATTCTCTCATCCGCTTTTAAGTATCTACATTTTATATTAAATTTGTCAGCAACATTTCCCTTTCCAACAAATTCATTAACATTAAGTTTGATACTTTTAAATAAATTATCATCATCTTGTACTTGTCTTATAACGTAACCAATGAGAAAAACAGAGATTGAACTAATCGTCAAATGTGCTGACATCCACATCATATTTAAATTTTAAAATATTACAGTATCTGGTATGGTAATTATTGATCCTACCAATAAATGTATCTAGAAAATATAATATGTAATTCAACGAATAACGGTTGTACTGCGTCAATTCTCATTTTTAATTTTTGTCATTATTTATATTGTTTCTTTTAGGTGTTTTGAAAAAATAAAAAAGTTTTTATTGTTATTTTTTTTTGAATTAAAGCTTATCATTTTTAATAAAATATGAATTTATGATAAAAAAAAAACTCCTCGTATATACAGTGTACAAAAAAAAAATATATTTATGTACTTGTACATAAAAAAAAATTAAAAATTAACCTATGGTGGAACCGTGGAAGTAATGTAGAAAAGACTGAGCCTATTTTCGTTAAAAATGAAACATTTTTTTTTTTTAACCTTGTTCTATTTTATTAATAAATATTTCTACTGCGGGTTCATAGGATCCATAAAAAAGTGACCTAAACATAATTGGAAAATATAAGCACACACCATACGAACCAGGTTTTTCTTCGGGTTTTTTATTAAAAAAAGAATTTTTTTTTTTCAAGTAAAAAGAAAATGAAAAACATGCAAGTGAACAATAATAACGTGGCTATGTCGATTAAACAAATCTTTTTTACCGAAATAATTTAAAAAGGATAAAACGGTAAAACAACAATGACTCTTTATCTTAATAAAAAAAAACAATAATATATTACTATATAGTATCCATCTATACTGAAACAAATAATGAAAAAAAAGAGATTCTAGGTATTAAAATAATAAGTTTATACAATAGGTGTATGTCATTTAAAAATAAAAAAGTGTCATTTAAAATAAAAAAACTTTTTCGTAAATCAATATTTAAAAATATTTTTTAATTTTCATATGATTGTTTTGAATTTTGATATTTTGATGATAAAGGATTGGTTACACTTTACACTTTGTGTATTCCTATTCTATTTTGCACAACTTACTTCGCCGCGGCTATTTACATGAGTCATTTTTATTCATGAGAGTAGTACAAGGAATTTTCATTATAAATAATAATGAAAAGTATATAATATGATAAAAAAAATTAAAAATATGTATATATATGTCTAAGGTTTTCCAAATATATTTATTTGTCGGGATTCTTTGTGAGTCTAGATGAAATCTGGTATATATGCCTGAGTAAGCGTGGATGAGCGTTCTGATAATAGCCTAGTAATTCAATATCTCATTTATCTGAGTGATCATAGGATAACCTTTTATTTCTATTTATAGATCATTATTGATTATTTAATTATCTCTTATTATCATCAAGACCAGGTAGAAACCCAGAAAATTGAAGAAGTTCCAAAAATATTTTTTATTAA